GTGGGTAAAAGCAATCAGTGTAAAGAAAAAAAAAAAATCTTCATCACCCCCCACAAGTAGTACAGTGTCACTATGATGACACTGTACTGCTAGGGTGACAGTATGTTTAAAAAAAACAAAAACATAAATAATATTATAAAAAAATAAAATAAAAATGTAAAAAAAATTTATGTTTTTTTAAATTATAAATTTTTGGTTATAAACTAATTTCAGTGTTTTTTTTTTACTAAAAAAAAAAAAAATAAATATTGGGCAAGATTTATGAAGAAAGATTATTTATTTGCAAAACTTTATAAGAAAAACACTTTTATAAAAAAATGTGTGGACTTTTTCAGTTATATAGCAAAAAAAAAAAATCTCAGTGGTGAATAAATACCACCAAAATAAAGTTTTATCTGTCTCAAAAAAATGCTAAAAAATTCATATGGGTACAGTGTTGCATGACCGCGCAATTGTCATTCAAAGTGTGATTGTGATAGCACTGAAACCTGAAAAATGGCCTGGACAGGAAGGGGGTAAAAGTGTCCGGACTTGAAGTGGTTAAAAGATTGCATCTGAAGTGTATCATACATCAGTATTCATCTAGAGAACACACAATACACATTTTTGCAGTATCAACCTGATCACAGCTTTCGCTGAGCTCATTTCATTATCACACACCAAGTATTTACCTGGAATCTCAGGGTATATTTAGATCTTTAGTTTTCCACAAGTTTGACATTCTTCTAATGAAGACAAAGAATTTGTCCGGTAAACCAAAGATTTCCAGAAAAGATTCTACGGTAAAACCAGTTTTGAAACAAAAAAAACAAGCTTTTACTAGAATGTTTAGCAAAACACACAAATATGAAGATACATTAAGGTGTAGGCTGAAATACCTGCCAGACATGTTCATGCCTAAACAGATATTATAGCTTGCCCAGAATATGCAAACATTTTTATAAGTAGAATGAGTAACAATGCCCATTTGAGAGCCATTTTTGAGATGGCATGTCCTGTATTTTTTGTTATATTGCCCACAGTAATTCTGGGAAACAATAAAAATTTGTGTCATTCCCTATAGAAATTTTGGTAAAAGCATAACAACCACATTCAACAACCCCCAATTGTTACAGTAGAGTGGGGGTCGGCAACCCACAGATCAAGATCTACCAGTAAATCTCATTCAGGTGACAGGTAGATCACGGTCTGGGCTTGCTGACCCGCCATTCCAGGGCATCAGAGTGCAATGCAGAGGGATTACTTGTAAAGTTGGAACTGTAGTAGGGAGAGAGAGCCTCATAAGCTGATGGCTGGCTCCTGTCCCATGCGAAGTGATACCAACTGCACTCCACCTCTTATCCTAGCCAGCGGTCTCCAGAGTGGTGCCAGCAGCATAAAAAGAAGAGATCTTCAGGTCAGTGTGAAGCAATACACTGGGCATAAATATAGGGCTGCTTTCACACTGATGTGCTGTGGTCTATCCCCACCGAGGGTGCAGTGCAGTGTACATAGAGCTTTCCTGTGGGTTTGCTGCACTTAGCCAAAGACTTCTATTGTATCCTACGGGGAGGTCCAGACTGACAGGGAACCCAAAAATTACTGAGCAACCCTTAAGGTGGTAGAGAGCTGCATCCTGCGGGTTTGGTGCACTTTCTGAAAGCACACTAAATCTCCTACATGCAGGAGTTTTGGTGTGTTTTCAGAAAGTGCACCATACCTGCAGGATATAGCACTACCCCCTTAAGCATTGCTTAGTCATTTTTGGGTTCCCTGTTAGTCTGGACCTCCTTTTGAAAACCCAACCTCTGTTGACACCACCGTACTCTTGTGACCACAATAAAAAACTGCAACACAGTAAACAACTGTAAGATGAGCTCACACACAAGGTAGTATAAACTAATATGAAGTTTATATTGGCATTGAATGTAAGTTGGTCAAAAACAACGGAATAACGAGCATTTTCAGCAAAGATAATCACTCTTGTCAATTATAAGTAAAAGTAACAGCATTCATAGTGAAATACCTGTAACTGTTAGCAGGCCTGATTTCAGAAGTAATTAAATGACTCCAATCGGAGGAACAAGAACAACTATCAAGTGGGTAAGCTCATTGTTGGTCCTCAGAACTAGACGACAGGGATTACATGTGAAGTGAAGAGCTCTCATTTATAATTGATTAATGCCCTTTTAAGAATACTATAGAGTCTTCTGCACGCTTGTTGGAGACCAGTTGGTACGAGTAGGTAATCCACAGCACATCAGTATGAAAGCATAGCAACCTTATTGAGGGCTCAGAACAGTAAGGGTCCATTTATATTTGCAGTTTGGGGGTGGTAAAACTGCATAGTTAAGATGTGCTTTTACCACCCCCTGCCCCTTTAGTTGCAGTGGCCAGGTGGTGAAAACATGTCACAGTAGCAACAGGAATTTATATGTCTTGTCATGGTTGGTGGGTGTAGCACCTGCCAAGCATGACCCATTCAAGTGACTGATGCTGCTTTGCAAGAGCCCTGCAACCTTGTGCAGTACAGCAAACAAGGGTTAAAGCAGGCAGTGTTGTGTTGCTTTCTCACCACTTGCTTCAACCCCTTAGACCCCACAGAAGCATGCATTTGGAGTGGCCCCATTTACTTGAATGGGTCACGACTGGTAGGCAGCAGCACCCACCAAAAGCAACAGGGGGTTTAATTCTTGCTGCAGCATTTGTAGACCTTTGGCTGTTGCCTCAGCAGCTAAATGGGTAGGGACCAGAGTTTTACCATATCCCCCCCCCCCCCCCCAACGTAATGTGCGAACGAGCCCTAAGAGCTCATTCACAAGTGCAGCAGGTACTGCTGCTCCTCTGAAAAAAGATCAAGTGTGTTTGACAGGTCGTGAGGAGGCAATATGTTGCATATAATTTAAACACATGATTGCTGTGCAGTGCTTGCAATTGTGACACTGTAGTCAGTGGTGTATTTAGGTTTTGTGCTGCCCTAGGCAACACAAAGATTGTCTGCCCCCACGGACAAGAACCAACACCCCCCCCCTTCCGCAAAAAGAGCCTGACATTGACCAAACACACTTGCCCCCCACCTGGGAGATCCTTCCACTAACCCCCCCCCCAGCAATAGAGAGAAAGACTCTCATCTGCACAGCTCCGGACATCCCCGGGAATGAGAGTCAGGCTCTACATACACCATAAAGCAGCCCACAGCCTCTCTCGGATCCTACCTGGTTCCCATGGCGCGCGTTTCCATTCTTCCATCCCTTCTTCTGGGGGGAGGTGCTGCCCCCCTGAAAAATGCCGCCCTAGGCAAGTGCCTTGTTTGCCTTGTGGTAAATACGCCCCCTGACTGTAGTACAGCAATTAAAGGTTTAAATCAGGTGTGAGAAGGCAACACTGTGCCCAGAGATCTTTGACTTCCCCCATGTTGTTCAGGTAGATCTCCACCTCTTTAAGGTTGCCTACCCCTGCAGTAGAGTTCTGTCTCAGCTTGCATGTTTTAAGTTCCTGATTAATTATGTAGCACCCCCTGACCCCCAAAGCATGTGAGGTATCCCATATGAGGGCTATAGCATTGTACCTTAGGGTCTAGTCCTTGGCAATAGTGGGGCAATGTGGACAGACAAGTACCAGCCACTTTTTGATCATTTATTGACTCTCACTCAACATTCCTGGGACAGATAGTTCAGTTGAGGTCCAAGTTAATTAGGCTGAAGTTTCTTTATGGTGATTAAATCTCCTTGTTCTGCATAGAAGCCATCAAATCTAGGCATCTATTCAGGCACAGTCACCCTCTTCAGGTAGCAGGCCTAGGAGGATCATACAGCGATCTACATCCCTTCCCTTGGCAGAGATGAGGACAACTGATTTCTCAATGTCACTACTGAGTATTTATATCCTCTAGCAGTGTGCACCACTGGCAATAAACCTCCAAGTGGTTGGCCAGGAAGGTACAATTATGCATAAACTCTGAACAGTCTTCCACACTATTACCAGGGACACTGTCCAGCAGCAGACAAAAGCAAACAATAACCAGAGCCCAGAAGAAACACAAAAAAGTTGACCTTAGCTAACTACAGCCTACTAAAATTTAATACACACTCTCACTTGTGGCAGGGTTGCTACAATTATATATTTATAAGTAAAATGCAGTAACAGACCATAGCAATTTGGTTTTAGTGGGACACTACATTTTAATAAACCTATTAATAAACCTTTGTGTCACTAAGTCGAGATGCAAAACACACAAACTAGAGGCATTTCAGTCTGTTACTTCAGGGCTACTCAGGAATGCCACCGAGGTTTAGTGCAGAATACAGTCATGTTTCACCTATTACATTTTCTGTGCGTATTTACTTGATCTGTAAGATCCCATGACCAAGCATAGGGGAGGAGTGTAACTGTACTCTGCACCAGCTCATTAGCTGCTTCAGTATTCAGCATTTTAGTACGTAAATCTGTAATGATGCTGCAGCATTCCATAATATTACTACTCTGAGCAACCTACCTTCGTGAGAGGGAACAGTCAATGAATGACTGGAGTGCCTTGAGTTGGCTTTTTTTTAGCTGAAACTTGATGGGACTCCACCACCTCTGGCTCAGGCACGTTGCCAACAAAACATCTAAAAAAAGCCAGACCAGTTCTGGAAAAGCATTCTTTGAGCGGATGAAACAAAGATTAATCTGTACTAGAATGACGGGAAGAAAAAAGTGTGGGGAAGGCTTGGAACAGCTCATGATCTAAACCACACAACGTCATCTGTAAAACATGGTGTGTCTTCTATTCCCATGTTAATCCAATGACTGCTTTGCACTTGCACATACAAACATTGAAGAGTAACAATTTTTTTTATTTTTATTTTACCTTTTTAATTATTTTTTTTATTTTTATTATATTTTTTAACATTTTATTTTATTTACCATAGTTTTCGCTCCAAAAGACGCACCTGACCATAAGACACACCTAGGTTTTAGAGGAGGAATACAAGAAAAAAAATATTCTTAACCAATGGACTGCGGACATAGTACAGGAGATGACCAGAGACTGCGGACACAGTACAGGAGATGACCAGAGACTGCAGACATAGTACAGGAGATGACCAGAGACTGCGGACATAGTACAAGAGATGGTCATAGACTGCAGACATAGTACAGGAGATGACCAGAGACTGCGGACATAGTACAGGAGATGGTCATAGACTGCAGACATAGTACAGGGGATGACCAGAGACAGCGGACACAGTACAGGAGATGACCAGAGACTGCAGACATAGCACAGGGGATGACCAGAGACTGCAGACATAGTACAGGAGATGACCAGAGACTGCGGACATAGTACAGGGGATGACCAGAGACTGCAGACATAGTACAGGAGATGACCAGAGACTGCGGACACAGTACAGGAGATGGTCATAGACTACAGACATAGTACAGGAGATGACCAGAGACTGCGGACACAGTACAGGAGATGGTCATAGACTGCAGACATAGTACAGGGGATGACCAGAAACTGCGGACACAGTACAGGAGATGACCAGAGACTGCGGACATAGCACAGGAGATGACCAGAGACTGCGGACATAGCACAGGAGATGACTAGAGACTGCGGACATAGTACAGGGGATGACCAGAGACTGCGGACATAGTACAGGAGATGGTCATAGACTGCAGACATAGTACAGGGGATGACCAGAGACTGCGGACATAGTACAAGAGATGACCAGAAACTTCAAACATAGTACAGGAGATGACCAGAGACTGTGGACCTAGTACAGGAGATGATCAAACACTGTGGACCTTTGGGGAGCAGAGGAGGGGGGGAACAGGTACCAGAATTTGACAGGTACCCGCTCCCACTTCCACAGAGTTGTCTTTCCTCCCCGTCTTCTGGGACACGTGACAGGTCCCAGAAGACTGCCAGACCATTTACAAAGCACAGCCCTTCTTGCGCATGCACAGTGGGCACCCAGCTGTGAAGCCGCAAGCTGTCATAGCCATGTGCCCTAAAGATGCTGGTGCCGGGGAGAGGAGATGATGAGGACAGCGCTGGACTGAGGAACAGGTAGGACTGAGCAGCACAGAAGAGCCGAGCGGTCGGCCTGGTATTCTAACACAACGGCAGCGGTGGGAATTCCGGGCTAGTCGCTCCATATTCGCTCCATAAGACGCACAGACATTTTACTCCATTTTTTGGGGGGGAAAAAAGTGTCCTGTGGAGCAAAAAATACAGTATTTAGTTTTTTACTTTTTATTTTTAAAATAAAATAGTGAGATATCAGGGGGTCTAAACAGACCTCTGATGTTCCACCTTTGAAACAGAGAAAGGAGATTGAGCCCTCAATCACCATCTCTGCAGCCTCAGCAGCACAAAATAAATGGACAGGAAAAGCTCTATACAGAGCTTCCTTTTCATTCACAACAAACTGAAGCATAGTAAACACGGTTAACTATGCTTCAGTTCTGAATGAACAGTGTCTGTAATCGGTACCATCCATTCAGAATAAGAAGAGGCAATATAGGATAAATGTCATATTTACTGGCTCGTTCCCAGTTTTCGATCCTGACATGCCTCCCACAACAGCTGTCGGGAGAGGGAAGGGGGAACCTGGCAGCGTGCGGAGGGGGGCCAGGGGAGCACACAGGGGCCCGGGGGGGGCAGCAGGACCTGGATAAGAGGGGCCACATATAAAGGAACCGATCCCCTCCATTTTTCTCCTGCAGCCACTAAATGCCTGTGGGAGGGAGAGGAGGAGAAGTGGGCTTTCAGCCACTGCAGGAGGAAAATGGAGGGCATTGGTTCCTTTATATGCCTCCCCTGCTGCCCCTCCTATCCAGGTGCACAGGGGAGCCATACGGGGCTGGATCTCAATTGCGATCCCTATAGGTATGCTCCTGCACTACATCATGATCCTCATCTAACACAGAGCTAGATGCCCTATAATAGATTTTATCATTGGAAACTAGTGCTGTTTGCTAGGCCTTACCTTTCCCATCCATATATTTGCAATGGGAACCACTAACCAACAGCTAGTCAGAGTTTTTTTTTAAATTTGTCCTTTTCGCCAAAAATATAACTTAAAGTGGTAGTAAAAGCTTACTCACTATTCTTAAAAATATTACCTCCTATCTATCGGCACACCCTGTATAAAAAAGATTGGTGTGTTTCCAGTCCAGTCTGGTCACATGATTCAGCAGCTCTGGCATCACTGTGTAAGGAAGTGCCTGACAGCGGCTGTTAATTTCCAGAGCTGCAACGTCACCCATTGGCTCCCATAACCCAGGTGTTGTTGCCACTCCCTTCTTTCCCCTGCAGCAGCTGATCACTGACACAAGGGAGCTACAGCTGTTGGATCACATGACCAGACTGGATTAAAAATAGTTACGTTTTATGCAGGGTATGCAGGTTAGCTAGGAGGAAGGGTGAAAGAACATTTTAAGATTAGTTACTGTTAGCCTGTTCTTCCATTTTAAATATGGACTAGTAGAGACTGAAGTGACAATACGGACTTGTCTACATGGGTGCTTTTTTGAGCTGATTTATCTCTTGAAGTGTTATTAAACCCAGGACCCTGCATTCACTATATCTAGTCTCCTACAGTACACAGAATATGGAAATGCAATTATTCTAGTAAATATAAACTGCTAAATACCTTTTCTCACCAGCAGTTAGAGTAGTCTTGTGACTTCTATCAGTGTCCAGCTGAGCACTGGTTAAAGCTTGTAGGAGGAGTTTTCATTCTGCTGTAGGAGGATGCAGGATCCCTGACCTCTGTCTGGACAGTGCTGATTGGCCCTGTGCTGATCGGCCCTGTGCTGATCACATGCACTGTCCCAAGAAAAAAAAAAAAAAAACCTCTCTAGCAATACACACTAAACTGAGCATGTGCAGAGTGACTCCACACGATATGTCTTATCAGGAGATAAGAGGGGGACACAATGCAGAGGATTAATCCCTTAGGTTCCATATTGAGTGTAACAAGCATGGTTTACTGCATATACAGTCTGTGTGGGTTTAGTGACATTTTAACTGCATCAAGCTTTTTTTGAGTTGAGTCAAGCTGTTCCAAGTTGCTTCTGCATTCATAATGACATTCACTGTATATACCAGTATAGCTATAGATCAGAATTAACCCCCTGCAACTATAGCAGCAATATGTCCCCGGGTAAACTGACATCTCTTTAGGCTCAGTCCCAAATTCACTTGTATGCTGTAGGATTGTAACACTGTGTGAGTCTATGTGTTGCACAGGCCTGTGTTAGTGAATCAGGGGAGCGGTCTCCAGGGGTTAACTCCTTGAGGGGGTGATGAATGGGACTCTGTCTCTCTGCAAGTTTTTTTCTGTTGTCAATTGTCGGTGCTGCACAATCTCTGAGGAACCTCACCCGGGATGGTCACACGCCTCCTCTGCGATTTCCAACACTCTGACCCTCTCTCTGCGGTGGGAGATGTCGTTGCTGTCAGTAACTGCTGTTCACAGGTGTGTCTAGTACCAATGATCACAGTTGCTGACTTCAGCTGCTGTAGATAACCGTTGTCCTTAGCAACCTCTGCTGTTCTGGAAACAGTGTCAGTGTACTTCAACAGTAGAGGCTGCAGACCAGCCCCCACATGTCCTCTCCAAAGGCACTCATGGCTCTCTTCTCCCTCCTGGTGGAAAAGCATCCTGGTCCTGTAGTCCTGTGCAGTAAAACGTTACATTGTCTACCCCAATGATGAAACTGCAACTCCCACAAACACTCCAGTACTGCTGAGAGCTGAGCCAATCAAACCCTTTCTGACAACATGCAGTCTTAAAAGGGAAACAGCAATGGCCCCACTACACTTGCAATAGTTTCTGGTATGTCAGAATCCTAATGAGATTCAGAAAAACTAAAAATCATCTAATAAAGGAGTGGTGGCAATGTTTTGCCTGGATTTTAATCTTCAACTTTAAATGCTTTTGTAGTTATTGACAGAGTAGTGCAAAGGGAGCAGAGCAATGTGCCATGGCCTGAGGAAGGAGCTCATATTCCGCATTGTGTTGCCATGCCTGTCCGTCACATCTGCCCATCTCTGAGGCTCCATGCCAATTAGGAAGCCCTGGGAGCCTAAGGCACAGCCTATCAACGGGACCACAGCAGTCTCTCCACCTGGGGGACCAGGACTGGTACTTGTTGATGGCTTTGTATGCCTATCTTAATGTCAGTTCTGTGAGTGCATTGATCTTATGACTATTAATATTGTTTTATTTGCTACACTTAGCTGGCGCTTGTCCCCTTTCCCTTTGTGCTTATTTTACAGAGTCGCTTATTGCTCTCAGGACTAGGCAGCCACTGAGAGAATCTACCTTAGTGATCTGCATGGTCAACTTGTAGTTTGCATGATTGTTTCCATTAAGACTTTGACATCCATTGGAATTTCACCACTGCTCCAACATTTCCCCTATAGGTGAAGCAACAGCGCACAGTGTTCAATGAATGTGCTATATTTTACAAGTTATTCTTTTTTATTTCTATTTAATGGCATCAGATCTAAAATCTCCCACAAGCGGCAAATACACTGCTCAAAAAATTAAAGGAACACTTTTTAATTAGAGTATAGCATCAAGTCAGTTAAACTCCTGGGATATTGATCTGGTCAGTTAAGTAGCAGAGGGGGTTGTTAATCAGTTTCAGCTGCTTTGGTGTTAATGAAATTAACAACAGGTGCACAGATGGCCAACAATGCCCTGTGCTCACTGCCTGGCACCATAGAGCTCGATTTGCATTTGCCATTGAACACCAGAATTGGCAGGTCCACCACTGGCGTCCTGTGCTTTTCATATATGAGAGCAGGTTCACCCTGAGCAAATGTGACAGATATAAAATGGTCTGGAGACACCGTGGAGAACAATATGCTCCCTGTAACATCGTTCAGCATGACTGTTTTGGTGGTGGGTCAGTAATGGTCTGGGGAGACATATCCATTGAAGGATGCACAGACTTCTACAGGCTAAACAATGGCACCCTGACTTCTATAAGGTATCGGGGATGAAATCCTTGGACCTATTGTCAGACCCTACGCTGGTGCAGTGGGTTTTGGGTTCCTCCTGGTGCACGATAATACCAGGCCTAATGTGGCGAGAGAATGCAGGCAGTTCCTGGAGGATGAAGAAATTGATACCATTGAATGGCCCCCCACACTCGCCTGACCTAAAACCAATAGACAACCTCTGGGATATCATGTTTCGGTGCATGCAATGCCGCCAGGTTGCACCTCAGACTGTCCAGGAACTCAGTGATGCCCTGGTCCAGATCTGGGAGGAAATACCCCAGGACACCATCTGTCGTCTCATTAGGAGCGTGCCCCGACGTTGTCAGGCATGCATACAAGCACATGGGGGCCATACAAACTACTGAGTACCATTCTGAGTTGCTGCAATGAAATTTCTGACTAGCCTGCTGCATCATTTTATCACTTTTAATTTCAGGGTGTCTTTGAATTCAGTCCTTTGTAAGTTGAAAATTTTCATTTCCATCAAACAGTGGGACATCCTTATGTTCCTAACTCATTACCAAGTCCATATCAGTACAGATATCCAGCATGGCATTTTTCCCCATTGAGATCTGATGTGTTTTCAAATTGTTCCTTTAATTTTTTTGAGCAGTGTATATATAACATACACAGTCGTGTCAACCAAAGCTTTAAAAAACAACTTCACTTCTACTGACACTGCTGCCAGCTACAACAACAAACACTGCTCTGTTCAATCCCTTTGTCATCCCTTAGCTGAATCAATGATAAATTGCCTAAAAAAAATTGCTGTGTCTTGCCATATTTTAATGTCCTTTCACACACCAGCTACATTAGCTATCCTTATTGACAGGAAGCACAACTCACAATCATTAAAGCATAGGTAAACAATGAACTTTTCTTATTTGCTACCTTTTTAGTCAGTTAAATATTAGAAGTTAAAAAAGGTTTGTAATATCGGTTTGTGTGCTCCCTAGTGAAGGGTTGTCCAGTGAGTTCCTGCACCAGGGCCCACCTAGTCTGTCTCTGCTTCTACACTCATATTAGGTATCTGTTCACTATGTCTTTAGGTTA